GCTGGCTTCTGGCTTCTTGGCTTGTGCCATACTTCCTCCATCTCTCATTCCCTCTCTCTCGCATCCTTGGAGACCCCGGCATCAGCCCAGTGTTTGCGAGTGAGAGTTGCACATTATGTGGTGCCGCTGCAAAGCGCAAAGCATGTTCTAACATCAAGTCCTCAAGCGAAATCACTAGCTGCATGCCATGCCTTTGCCGTCGCCCCTCGACATGGCTGTTGTGTGGGGGGGCTGCCGGGGGCGTGTTCAAGATACATGGTGAACCGGAATCACCAAATAAAGGGTCGTGCTTCAGATATATGGACCGGAATCGCCGAATGTTGGGTGTGCTTTAGATATATGATGCACCGCTATCACCAAATGAGGCGGGCTCGTTTAAGATATATGATGAACCGCTATCGCCAAATGAGGGGCCGTGTTTCAGATATATAATATATAATGAGCCGGAGTCGCCAAATCAGGCGGGCGTGTTTAACATATATGGTGAACCGGAATCGCCAAATGGGGGGGGGTGTTTAAGAATGTGTGGTGAATCGGAATCGCCAAATGAGGGGAGCGTGTCTAAGATGTATGATGAACCGGAATCGCCAAATGAGAGGGGCGTGTCTAACATGTATGATGAACCCGAATCGCCACAAGAGAGGAGCGTGCCTAACGTGTATGATGAACCGTTATCGCCAAATGAGGGGGTGTGTTTAAAGTAGATATGATGAACCGGAATCGCAAAATGATGGGGCGTGTTTAAGAATGTGTGATGAACCGGAATGGCAAAATGATGGGGCGTGTGCAAGAATGTGTGATGAACCGGAATCGCAAAATGATGGGGGGGGGTTTAAGAATGTGTGATGAACTGGGATATGTTCAAGATATATGGGGAACTGGAGGAGGCGCCAAACAAGGGCGCATGCATCAGATACATGGTGAGACGGAGTCGCCGAATGAGGGCCGTGTTCAAGATGGTATAATATGATGAACCGGAATCACCAAACAAGGGGGCGTGCTTCAGATATATGGTGAACCGTGTGTTTAAGAGGCACGATGAACCGGAATCGCCGAATGAGGCATCGCATTAAAGAAGTATGGTGAAACGGAATTACCAAACAAGGGGGTCGTGTCTAAGATATATGGCATATTATATGGCGAACCGGAGTCGCAAAATGCAGCTGCGTGCTTAAGATGTGATGAACCGCCAGTCCCCTTGCAATTGCGTTTGCAAATGGGGGGAGGTGCGCACCCCCCCAACCCCGCTGCTTGCTTAGGCTCCGTGAACGCGCTTTAGCACACGTCGCACCAGCAAGAACGCTATTTGGCCATTTTCGATTGGTCGCAACAAGTCAAGCGCACGACTCTTATGAGACCTTTCAAAGCCCGTCCTAGGGGCCAACCTCCCCCGCCGCACAAGCCACAAGCTTGCTGTAGGGAACATTGTGCCATCGAGAACACAAAAGCCAAAAAGCCGACACGCCAGCTGAGCCGGCACGGAAGGCAACCGAGTAGACTGCCGGGGCCGGACCAACGGGTTTACAGACTGAGTGACCGACGGAGGTCTGAAGACCACTAGGCGGAAAGCCAAAAAAAAAATACACCAAAGAAAGACCTCGCATGCAGCCTGAGTTCTCGCCATCACGGTGACTCTTGCAAGTTTTGTATATGGATCGAACCGAAAACCAAAGCTAATGCCCAGAAAAAAACCAAAAAGCTAACCCAAAAATAACCTGGACCCTGAATTTGATGTCCACGACATTCAAAAGTTGGCACGAGGTGTTTCTCGAGGGGCCCTCAGCAGCGCCAGCGATAGTAACTGCTGCTGGGGATGGGGAGGGGACGGGGGTTGGTCGTTTTTGCGATGATGGCGGTGGGGAGAGACATATGTAGGCATGACAGTGTCCGGAGAGCGCCCAGTTGTATATGAATCAGCATTCCATTTATTGGCCCGGTGAATCGTCCCTCCCTCCTTGCTTTCCTCCATTTCTTCTCCACCCAGACGTACATGCAGCATACTCGAGCTGCCAAGCGCACAGCAAGGCATCTCTCTCTCTCTCTCTGTGCTCGCGTGTTGCTCCATCTGCATGCTATTTGCTATCCGCTTGTCCGCAAGCGGAAGAGAACACCTCGCGGGATGAACAAGGCGCTTTTCTCCCTGAGGACGCTGCCGTGGGGTATCTGGCGAAGCATGGGATCGAGCAGCGCCTTTCCGAATGCCTCCGCACGCTTCTGAGGACTGCGGAAGCCCCGCCATGCCTCCTGCTGTGAGCATCTGTAAGCTTTGAAATGCTACTGCTGCTAGTTGTTCAGGATGAAGCCCGAAGATCCTGTGGAGTTCATGTGCAAATTCCTGCCGCTCTGGTTTGCAAATTCGTCTTTTCCCAACAGTCTGCCCACGTCCTTGGTGTTTTGCTTGCTTGTAGCATGGTAGCATGCTGTTGCTTCCGATGCCGTGTCGAGTTTTTTCAGAGTTCCTAGGAGAGCCGGTGTGCCTGGCGCATCTCGGCTAACACTCGCTCAGCCTGTCTGTCGCATGGTGCCCCGCAAATCCCGTGTGTTAAAGCGCTTGCTTCGAAGGAGGAGCCAAAGGCGGTTCCCGAGCAAGCTGTGGAAAAGCCAGTCGAGAAGCCTGCGGAAAAGCCGGCGGAGAAGCCTGCAGTGGCGTGTTCAAATTAACGTGATATAGTTCGTTTCATGATTTGCCAGACCCTGTCGCGCCGGTGAAGTCACAAGCGCTTGATCGCCCAGGTGAATGTGGTCGAGCCGCCAGCTCCTGCACCAAAGCCAGAGCCGGCTGAGGCTTTGTACTGGTAGCAGATGCTTGGAGCTTCCGAGCTTCTACTCTATTGCGGCTCCGACAGGCTCGGGAGGATGCCCGTGCGGCTCTAATGAAATCCGTGCGTGGTGGCGACTTGATTGGTGCCGTCGAAGAGGTGGGAGATGGGGCAGTTGTTCGCGCGTATCACAGCCTTGCAGAAGCTCAGTGTGTCTTCAGGATCAGGAAGCAGCAGCCGCTCCCTTCACTCTCAGGCCAGCTCCAAGATGCCCTGCTTGCACCATCACTGTACAGCTTGGCTGTGCTTTGGCGGTTGCGAGGCCATCGGTCGGCACATGGTACATGCCACTACCTTTGGAGACTGCCGCGCCCGCGCCATCACCAAAGGAGGTGGCTTCTGGCTTGCTGTTTCACGTGTTCAGGTCGGACAGTGGACTGCCAAAGCTACTCTCATGGCTAGGGGTCCGGAACGTGTCAGGAGAAGTCTGGGCCTCCACCGATGGTGTCCTTTGGCCGAAAGGCATCCATGGAGATGGTTGTGGAGGCACGTTGCCACTCTTGTAGCGGGCACGCTGTCACGAACAACATTCCTGCTGTCTCTAGGACTAGGATTAATGGCACCGTGACGATTCTTGGCAACATGACAATTTGAGAGATATGCCAATTGCCGCTGGACCAGGCATCAGCCGTTGGTGACTGGCTCTTGCCGGAAGCAGGCAACCTCACCCTCAAAGGCCTGGGAACATCAACAGCAGAATGCTGCGTCTTGACTTAGCTCTGGATCAAGATTGCTGAGATTATGTCAGAGCTTTCAATCAGCAACTGTGCAATCCGGAGTTTTACTGGCCATGTTCGTCCGACCGTTTTGGGATCAGTTTTGGCAGTGACGGCTGCAGCCCGTGGCTGGCCGCCACTGCAGTTGTCAGACTTCTAGATTCAAGCTGCTTGTGCTTGAGCCGACCACTGAGGTGAAGTTGAGCGCATCTTGACAAATGCCCTCATGGAGCTTGGTGGAGAGCTGCAGGGCGTGCTTTGGCTGAAGCAAATTCGTGGCGTAACAGGAGCACATGGGTGAGACATCTGTCCTTCCAGGAGTACATTCCCTTGTCGCCCACCTTTGCATCGCAGCCAGGCCGACTTGTTAGAATTGATCAGATCCCACGTTTCTTCCATGTTTTGCCCTCACGTGAATGGAGGAGGCATCAACGATTCGATGAAGGCATCGCTGCAATCTAAACACTTGCTCTTCGATGCAGCAGATGTCGCTGGCAGCACCTTGGAGCCATCATAAACTATCCCACCATGACAGAGAAAGCTGTGATATCGCTTTTAAATCAAACCCAAAAGGAAGCAGCCGTTGTGAAGTGCCTGCGTACTGGAGTGTCATTGAGTCATCGTCTGTACCCAGTGCCCTGCCCACTCTGGATGCATCTCATAAATAGGCCGCAGGGTGCAGGAACTCAGACCACGGCCTCACTCAGGAGGGGTCTATGTCACGGATGCGGAGGATGTCGCATTGTGGCTGAATGCGAGCAAGCATTTGCAAATTTTGGTGAACAAGTCTGCCAAGAAGCAGATGATTCACAAAATCGACACTGTGGTATCTGCTTTGCAGGGACCTCTGTGCCAAGACGGCTATGTGCTAAGTGCATAGACCTTGATCCTCGTTTTTTCCTGGAGCAGCTTCGGTGATGGAGCAGGGTAGCCCGAATCTTCTCGCTTGTTACATAATCTCCACTTCCCCCACCTGGAAAACCGCCCAGGCTGCTAAGAGATGAAGTCTCACTGTCAGGGAGGCTCGTACAAAGACACGACTGATGGCGGTGAACAGCACAGAGCCATTCTCACGTGCTGGAACTGCTGAGGCGCTCAAAAAGGCTGCTGTCAGGAACCCGTTGCCAAGCAATGGCTTCGTGATAGCTGCCGGCAAAACATTCGTAATGATCTTCTTGTCATCTATCGTTCATCTATCATGAGAGCTTCCGATGGATGTTTTGCCAGCCTTTGCCCGCGAGTGGCCCATGCTGGACGGTCGGCTTTGACCACCTGCGTGATTTTGAACGGCTCAGGCACTCTTGAGGCGCAGGAAGAGGCACTCGTTTTGGGCCCGCTTTTCTTCGGTGAGCCTGCCAATAGCATCCTCTCTCAAATCAGCTGAATTTTCAGATGTCAGTGTATTTATGGCACTGAAGTGTATTGAGCCGGCTCATGTCCGCTGTCTACTGTTCATGAGCATCTTTGGCAATTCACATGTTACTTAGGGACGGTGCAGCTTCGCATCTATGCTGACCCGATCTTCAGCCTGCAGCGCAGGTTCTGGCGGATGCTTTTCACTGCACCACCGGCCACAGGTGCGCAACGGCGTCAAAGACAGCCCGTGCCCAATTACTCAGAGATTTCCGCAAAAGCTGGGTGAAACAGACCGAGCCCACGGCAGCTTTTGGATCATGCGTTCGCACGATGTGTGCTGGTTGTGCATTGAGGCTGACCCTGACCTGACAATAGGCTACTGCAGGGCTATGTATCATTCTGTCCGATAGAATGAGACTTATACTCCGCTGGCGCAGTTGATAAGGTGAATGTCCCCAAAGCCACTGGCACCTGTGACGCGATCGTTCTGCCGAGCTGATGCTCTAGTGGCTCCAGCTCAGCTAGAAGATGCTAGAAGCCCAGTCAAGAACATGTCGATGCAGCGAGATCTGAATTTGCAAAAGCTCTAGACTCTAGAGCCTTCCCGTTTCTGCATCTCTTCGATGGCATTGAAAAAGGGCCGAACAGGTTCAAGTGAGCAAAAAGCTCTAGCGATCCGACAACGCATCTATGTCTCCAAGCATTGCCAAGCTGCTATGGAGGCGACTAGAAGAGAACTCCAACTCAGCCGTGTAGATTTACTTCCCTGGTTTTTCGTGAAGGAGCAGCTCACCAAAGCGACCACGGTGGAGTGGGCAGTCACTGGCCTGATGGCAGCACAGGTGCTGCAAGTTCTTGCATGGATTTCGACATAGCATCGGACGCCCTGTACAAAGGCCACCATGCATTGGGGGCGAGCAAACTGTACCGCGCAAAGTTCGCGGGCTGCTCAGCACGAATTGCTCAGCGGCGCTACGACTGGGCTGTCTGCTCTTCTGTACCTGGCCGCTCGGCTCAGAATTTGACAAATGACGCCCGTCCTCCTCGTGAGTCCTTCCATCTCACATGACATGCCTTGAAGGCCATGGCGTGCGGCATCTCAGAGGCCTACGAGGGCTTCGAGGCCGACGGCAGCACACAGCACGCACCCCAGGGGCCTGGCGCCAGGGGCTGGAAGAGGCGGTGATTTCGTGTTCGATTCGAGGCGGCTCTTCTTCCACATTGCCTATCTCGGTCGGGCCTTCGTACCATGCCTGTTGCCTCTTGGCTCCTCTTAGGGGAAAAGGGGGGGGGCGGTTTTGGTTACATTCGTCAGCTGCTCGGCTCCGGGAGGCTTCTGAACATCAGCGCGCTGGCCCGGGAGCGCAAACCTTCAGCGGCCGCCTTGATGGCTGCCTGGGTCACGCAGGCCGCCGGCAAACACGGCGCCACATGAGGCATTCAGGACTTGCCTTCCACAGTAGCCACATCCGCGCGATCGGGTTCCTGCCGTAGAGGCAGAGTGGAGGAATGCTCAGAATCAGAGTGATCGATAGCTGTTCTCCCGGTGGTGCTGAAGCATTGCAAAACCATGTTAGGAGGCGGAGGGTCGTGCCTAAGCTGTCGCTCCTGTCTAGATCCATGGCATGCCAGGCATCTTACTTTGCAAACGAAGCTTGTAAGCTTCACCATTCAGGCGCTGCAAGTGTCAGATGCACTGGCAGGTCCTGGCGCTGTACCTGGGCCAACTAGCGAAGGCAGCCTTTTGACGACATGGCTCCGGGTTTGCAAACCGCAATGCACTCATGCTACTGATTCACACTGTCAGGCACAGCAGAGGCCGTCATGTTTCAGAGCCTTCGTGAAGCGTTTGCTGCAGCCTTGCCCTGCATTAGATGGATCTTTCTCCTGGCAGCTGTGGTGGCGTCCACGCCTCAAACAGGGGTCCTGAAGTTCGGCTGCCCTGCCCATTCTTCCCAGGCTCGTGCCCATGGCCATCACAATGTGTGCGGCCATGGGGGGGCGGCTCCACGATTCCTCGCTGATGACAGACGCTCGCCATCAGAGCTTGCATTGTGCCGAGCCGGGCAGAGGATATCTGCGAAGATGAGGCTTACCGCTTCCTGGTGACGTGGGTGTGTATTTGTGGACTCGGTTTCTGCTGGTTATTCCTCTTCTGCCAAGCCCGGGTCTCAGTCAAGGCGTGCGGCTGTGTGTGTGGTCGCCTGCAGCATTCTCTGGTCTTGGCTGATTCGTACTTCAGGTTTTTCGCTTCTTGGAGGTGCACACAGAGGTGGGGGGCCCCTTGAAACGCCTCCAAAGCTTGGACAGTGTTTGGGACGGATGCCTCCTAGAGGTGGCGCTGGGTGCCCTCCTCGACTACTGCCTGCTTGGGGTTGGATCACCAAGAAGATGCCTCACTCGATGTCACTCGAAAATAAATAAGTATAGCAGCAGATTGAATACGAAGTTCGAGTGAGGTCTCCAGCCTAGTCATCAGCTGTGCGGGGCCTGACGTGCAAGCTCCGCTGCTTCCTGGTCAGGAGGAGGAGCAGAAAATAGTAGCCTCTCTGTCTTTCTGTGTTTTCATGGGTGCAGCGTTCTGCCTGTGATTGGATGCATTCTTCGAGAAATGGTACGTGTCAGGAGCTTTCGCTCTATCCCGGTCCACACACTCATGGCTTCTTCCCGAACCTGGACTTCCTGCACCATGACATGAGATCACATGTCCTGCATGCTGCCCGGCAGCGCTTTCAGCCTTCCTTCACAGGACTTTTACGACGACAACCTCTAGGGCCTCGATGGCGCCAGCAGCGCCAGGGTGCTTGCGCATTCCAAGCGCGGACGACGTGGTACGAGCAAGGGCATATTCTCTGACATCTCGCTGGCCAGTAGCTCATCCCGGGATTTTGCTGGCGCAGCTTATTTCTTCGCGGTGATGCCCCTTCAGCAGATCTTAAGCAGCTCTCGAGCAGCACCCAAAGAACTTCGCCCAGAAGTTGGTTGGCCGCTTGCTGATGGCTTTCCATCTGATAGAGGCTTGTGCGGTTGTACTAGTAGCTAGTGGCTCACCATGAACCCGGCAATAGAAAAACGGCATTGGGTAATGCTCGCTCTGCAGGGTTGGTATTCCTCACTCGCGGAGGGTGCTTGGCACAGACAGGAATCCCCCATGTGCATCTGCAGCCATTCCATCTTCAAAGCTTCGCCAAAGTGTGAGTGCAATCAGCGTCTTCGCATCGATGCGGACCAAAGGCCTGCAAGGAGTTGTGGACTGTTGTGGATGTTGCTGTGCGTCAACCGTCAACGGCGCACTGCGGATTTTGTCATGGCTTCTGACAGGCTTCCGATCTGCAGTTGCGACGTCACGGGCTCATCGCCATGAGACACGGGCGGACAGCCCCAGTCAGTTTAGCTGTTCACCGACATGCGTCCGATCGGCGCTGTCTGAACGCTCTGAGGCGACTCTGTTGCATGGTGGCCACGCTCTGAGCAGTGCCGGCATTACAGTCCGGTTCGTGGCTATTCTGCAGATGTTGAGTCGCCAGGGTCTATGTATAGCACGTAGGAAAGCTTGGCTGCCAGAGCTCTTCAATAGTGTGCAGCTTGACCGTACAAGCCTCTGTGGAAGTTGAGCTCTCACAGTTCGTTCTGCGAGGCCGTTTGCAGCTGCCTGGCGTCCTGGCACCAGAATTTCCTTACTGTTCCTGGGAAGGACCAATTGTAAACGTCTACAAGTATGAAGGGCAGACGGGCTGAGCCAGGCCTTGCCCCAAAGTCCCGAAGGGGAAGCCACTTATCGGCCCCTGATCTGTAGGAACTGTTTTGTCGTCGGAATTGCATAGCCCGGAATGGGGATGCTACTAGTGTCTGTTTGCAGGACATTCAGCGACGCGCTCTGGCGGCCGCCTTGGCGTCGCAGGCTGCTAAAAATATATAGCGGCTAGAACGGACGAGAAGCCACCATGCTTGGCACTTCTTGCGGCTTCTTTCATTTCTTCTTCGCAGTCTTGGAGGTGCTGGTTCCGTCAGCACCTGCAATCGCTGGTGACCGAGATCGCACGCTCCTTCGGCTCCATTACATGTATTCGTTTACTAGTGAAAGCTGCGACACTTTGACTGCTCAGCACTCCCGGCCAGGTCCATGTTGATTGCAGTCAGGCAGGGCAGCTGCAGGGCGCTTTCCGAGTGTCTTCCTTGACTCTGTGCAGTCTCTTTGAAGGAGAAAGTGGCTCCCACGAATCTTGCAGAATTACAAGAAGTTGCAGGCCAACCCCTCAACCCCTTGCTGGATGCTGATGGCCTTGTGAAGCCCCGTGAATTCATGTGAATTCCCCACGTGTAGCTCAAAGATCATGCAAGCAAAGTCCACAGGGACTGAATCCTGAGAGCTTGGTTTGTGCGATTGACTGCAACATTGCGGGATTGACTGCAACATTCTAGCTTAATCTTCTCCAGGCAGATGGCACGGTGACAGACGAGTTCATCTCAGGGAAGGATTTCAAGAAGCCTGAAGCCCGGAAGGCTGTGCAGCTCGCATACCCTCGCATGGCAATGCCAAGTTCCTCTCGATCCCGAGGTTCATCGTAGCCTTGGATTCCTATGGCAGCATTCAGCGCTTGGATGAGGTACAGAAGTTAGCACTCTCACATACCTCTTCTCACCCGTGGCACCTGTCCTGCTGTCCTGCACGCGGTTGCACGGATGACATGCTGTGGCCAGGCACCTGACAAGTACTCGCGAAAGCTTCAGGCGGATGCCAAGTTCGGCTCTGAGTCGTGTGCCCGTGCATGACCCACTTCGTTGGGCACAGGGTCCAGGAAGTTTTCGTTGGCATCCCAATCAGGGAAGTGGAGAAGCTCCTGAAGGGCAAGGAGTACCAAAAATCTCTGGAGATGTTGGAAGTCTTTCGGCAAGGCTAGGGGCTAAGCGGCCTCCATTCTTGCTGCCATGTCTGAGCCCCCTGCCAGACATTCCTGCTGGCCCGGGCAGCTTCGTGTGGACTGACGAGGGCTAGAGCTCCTGAGCTCTACGCAGGCCTCGGGCCGTTTAGGCGAAGGCGAGCAGACAGTCGATACCACTTGCGGGTGGCTGTCGTGCAACTTTAAGCACAGCTGGGAGGGCCCTGCATCTGAAGTATTTTTGACTCTACACAGATCCAAGTGCCTTGCCGCCAAGCCCCTCATCTGGCACCAGCGATATGAGTTCATCGGCATGCTTGCTTGGCTAGACCAGGGAGGTTGGGGAGAAGCGTCCTCGATTTTAAGAGAGGCGACATCCCCACGTCCGAAGCCTCAACGCTTGGATCCGAAAACCTGAGACTTGCAGTTCAGAGCTCGACCTGAGATGCCTGGAGCCTTCACAGATGGACCTCCGTGCACGGATCAATGCGCACAGCCGTTTCCGTCCACAAGATCTAAGCAGCTTGCAGCAGGATAATCCAAGTCTTCACCATGAGCCTCAAGATGTTGAAGCTGTTCAGCCATAAGAGAGTCGTCGTTGCGCCTCGGACTTGAGTGCATGCGGCGGATCACCTCCCAAGTAGCCCTGCTGCTGTCGGCACTCACTTTGCGCAGCTCGGTTGCAAGACACACGCCACGAGGTCATGAGGTGGTGCAGTCGACAGAATGCAGTAGTGGATGATTAGCGTTGGTCGTGCGATGTCAGTTGCTGCAATCGCGGGGGGTCGCCGTTCATCTTGAGTTTCGATCGGATGTCGCAGCGTCGCACGTCGCTGTTGGCAGTCGGCTGCATGCGCCCATTTGGGCGGCCCTTCAGCGGCATCTGGCTTCGGACCAGCTCGTTGCCTGCCAGTTGGCGCAGGCCACGCGGGATAACGTGTGAAGAGCGCCACTTAGGACGGTTGAGCACCGTTGTGCGCTTGCCGAGGCCAAGCAGAGTCATCAGGTCGCAGCCTGAGTTTTTTGGTGTGTCTCACATCTCGTGCAGCTCCCGACCTGCAAGGATGGCTTCCACTGGCCCTTCCGTGAGGATGTCTGATGAGGAAAAGTTTTTCTTTGACCTGAACGGGTTCCTGCACGTTCGCGGAGCCCTTTCGAAAGACGTGATCGACCGCATGAACCAAGCAATTACTGCCCACTCCAGCGAGATCAAGGAGTGCGCGGGCCGTGTATCATTGTAAATGAGAAGAGGCACCATTGCCATTGCCCAGCATGCAGGAGCGCGAGGACGGCGACCTTCGAAATACCAGAAACTCGACTGCGATTCTCAGATCCTTTTGCCCTTCTCTTCTGCTACGACCTCGCAGCTGTTCTGCAGCTCTTCAAGCTGAATGGCGGAATTTCCCAGGATCCGGCAGCGCTCTCTCCGGCGATGGGCACACAGGGCGGCGTGACCTTGGTGGGATGCTGGGTCAGTGGCTCGGAGCCCCATAACACATCGAGTTTCCTGTCACTCTTCGCCCCGAGGCTGGCCAAAGCCTCACTGCCAGCCCTTCCGGGAAGTCCTTGCCCACCCGCCTGCAACTTATACGAAGGCGCCCTAAAAGCTGAGCAATCTTGCAGTCCGAGCTTCAGGAAGCTGCTGCCTTACTTGGTGGAGCTTTGCGGGGCTGGCTACCGCATGGACCACCTGCCTCTAGTTATAACCTCCCAGAAGGGAAGTGAAGGATTCCACTTACATGGAGGGCCACTGACGCAGGCCTGGCCCAGCAGACTCTTCCCTGTGAAGATGTTTGTTGCGTTTCGGGAGCCTTGGCAGGACGGCGCGTTCAACCCCACTCTCCAGTATCGATGCGTGAACGGCATCTCGCCCAGCACATTCTACTCTCAATCTCATCCTGTGCAGCCCGGCCCCGAGGTCAGTTTTATAACTCTCTCCTCGGCATGTGGCGGCCTCACAAGCTGGCAAGACAGAATGCAATGCGAAGGCATCGTGGGCCGGAGGAGTCCTCCAAGAGAAGTCGGAGAAAGAAGCAAAGATTGAACATCTGCAAAACTGAGATGGTAGCCCTGGAACTGCCAAGGTTTAGCAGAGTCGCGCATTGTCCTTCTGTCTATCATCATTGTAAATAAACCCAACAACCTACTGCACAAATTGCAAACGTCTTTCAAACAATTCTCGCGGTTGAGGTCCGTCCAGCTCGTGGACCATGGTCCAGGTGATGGTGGCTTTTGTGTCATCCGTGGGTGTGAGCCTCGGTGTGGGTGCGATCTAGCAGGTGCGGATTTCAGACCGTATCAGGTCTCACAAAAGCAACTTCCCGGTACCGGACGATTTCCTGCATGGCGGCGGAGAAGAAGCCAAGGATCTTCCGGTGTGCAGTGCTGTGCTGGTAAGGCCTAGCAATTGCCGTAGCTCAGATGGCACACAAGTATTTGTCATGCAATGCCATGCAAGCAGGAGATACTGTGCAGGTACTCAGGGATGCCAAATTCCGAAACAACACCTCTTTTACATCTCGTGCAGGCGCACTTCTACCAGCCAGAGACACGCCACGGCCTTAGGGAAAGGACCTGCTGCCAGCGCCAGAGCACGAGTAGCGAGACTCTCCACGCGTATCGATGTAGTAGGGACGCCGAACAGTAATCCAGCCAGCAATAGAGTGCGAGCATGAGAAGGCATGCTGAGGGCGGTGTCACGGTCACGTTTGTCAACGCAATATCAGCATCCAGCTGCGCCTGAGTATCTTCGCCTGTGTTGAAGCTTCCTTGGCTTCCTGCACTGGGAGGTGCGGGTGATGTCGTCTTCTTCTCAGAAGCAACTGTGCACGGCGCAATGGCCTGGACTGCAGAGCATGAAAGGCCACTCAACACATCAATCAAGCAGCAGTTCTTCCAGCATGGCATGGTGGTAGAAATGGCGGGTTCTGTGCAATCGCACTGTGAGACGCTACCACTGTGCTGGCCAGCTGCAGTGGCTGGCTTCTGTAGGCGCATTGCGTTGTACCGCTTTGCCCCGGCCACCGTAGCCTATGGCCGCAGTTATGCACCTTTACGGCAACCGTTAGACTTGAAGAGATTTCGAACAAGGGCATGCAAGCCATGAGAGATCGCTGTTGCAAAGGCGCCGCAGTGGCCACAGGACTGCCTTGTATTTTTAATAACGCTGGACAGCCGCGTCACATTGTGTCTGCTTGTGAAGGAGATGCTGGAAGACTTGACACCCGCCCAGCGGGCGGTATTGGAGCCGCCATATGCAGGCAGCTTCTGCAAGTGAGCTTGGTTGTTGCACTCCGGTCGAGTCAACGGCAGCCGCTGCGTTCTCGCCGCAAGCCGTCCATTCCCTGAATCAGCATTTAAGCCAGTCAGCCTCACGCATGAGCACATTTAGACAGGAAGCCGGCAACGTTCCGGAAAGGGAATCAGAGATGTTCTTAAACGTACAGGCTTGCCTTCAATCCTTTAGGCTTCCATTTTTTAACGCCTTCATCTTGTGTTGCGCCATGAGCTAGTCGACATGGAGGAGCGGCCCGGGAAGAACAAGTGCCCGAGTCCAGGAGCTGACTGGCTGGGAGCGCCCGAGTCATGGCTTTGGACTTGACGTGAACTCCGAATCATTTTGAGAGCTGTCAGGGCAGTCCTCATCCCTAGCCGGTTCATATATATATATATAGCCACGATCTGACCGACGTAAGGAAAGACCTGCGAGCCCAGCGAAAGCAGGGCGTTCTGACCCGGAAGCGCTTCTGGCCGAGCGATTGGCCTCTGCCGCCCGGCGGCAGATGGCGGTAGCCTGGCATAGCCACTCCGGACCTGCATCAAGAATCCACTTATTGGCTATGACAGAAGATGAGGCAGAAAGCGTGAAGCATGCTTTTGTGTCGCATCGGCATTGCACATCGAGGTTTGGATCCGACTCCAAGACAAGCTCGAAGCTCAATGCAGCGAGCTTTGTACGTCTGCAAAGCGGCGAGACGACGATCTCGTCCAGCGAGACTTGGCTCAAGCGCAAAGAGGCAGGTTCAGAGTGTTGCTTTGGCATGTGCCGGGTCGAACTGCACTGTGTCACATCCGGCATCGCCAGTTGTGTTGCTTGGTCTTGCCTCACTGGCTGCTTTGCTGTAATTGCTTTGCTGTAATTAAGTGTTCCTCTGGTGCCCGGGCTGGAGCACTGGCTTGTCGAGAGCATCCTGTCTCCAAGGATTGGATGAGCGTTTGAACAATCAGACCTCCATCTGGCAAGAATCAGTGAGAAATCTGGAAAGCGTCGTCGAAGCTCAGCGGGCCCAGTGGCAGTCCATTGTGAAAGAGGTGAGGCAGCATCCAGCCCCTTGGCCAAGCTGGTGAAAGAGTCTGGACTGTGTTCCGAATCCTTTGTTCGAAGTGAAACACCCCGTGACTCATACAGCAATGGTAAAATTAGGTTGTACAGGTAAATACACTTGCAGAGCTACATGCCAGTTCATACTGGATCCATTTAGAGTCAGAAAGCATCGCCCAGGTTCTGAAAGTTCTGTCCCAGGCCCCAAGCGCCCGAATCCAAGATTGACTTGAGCCACAGGTTGCTCAGCCGGAGCCCTCGGCTCCCGACGCCGAGCACATGACCCATGGCGAAATAAAGCAGCATGCCAGAGTAGGATTTGTCTACGTTCTGGTGTGAGTAGAGCAGGATGTTTGGACACACAATGTTCACAAAGGAGTCGTCAGCTTGGCTGCTATAGGTGCTTGTGACACATGCCACCACAGCGATTGTGCAGGCATGCCGGGTGCACAGGGCAAAATGGACATGCTCGGACAGACTCACGAGTAAATTGAACCAGTGTGCAGACTCTCGCTCGTCTGAGTCAACATACTCGTACATGGCTGTCCTAAGACAGGTTCTCGTAAGTTACGTTGGTGAGATGCGACTGCATCGGAGACTCGGCAACTCAAGCCGAGGTATGGCGCATGCACTGCACCGGCCAGACCTTCTGTAAAGATTGCGGAGGGTGTGGAGCAATCTGAGCAAACTCTCAATGGCCTCCAGGCTGCAAGATGTTTGTCTGGCTTGCTAGCTGGCACCAGAAGAACAGGCTTAATTACATTATGGCATCGACTTCTTCGTAGCTTATAGTGCCTTGGTGGCCGTACGAGGCTCCCCCGCGAACAAATTAGTGGCCAGGGCGACTTGGCACGAGGCGTGGCGGCTCATGGCATGGGATGTGTAGATTTGCGACACGCGCGCCGTGTGGAAGTCATTTTCCCTATCCCGGGCGCAGGCACCGCCACCTGTCACAGAGCAGCCGGCATCCATTCCTGGGAGCGTGGCCGAGGTGGGGTTTGGACCCACCAGTTCAAGCACCCGAATCAGAAGGCTTTCTGTTCACCACTGTCCCTTGCTCTGTGAAACTGATCCAGCTTGAAGGTGAACGGCACCATGGGCGATGGCCACACATCGCCCAAGAGACGGAACAACTCCACAGTAAGCTTTCAGAGTCAGAAATCGGAGGGAGATCCCGATTTCGAAAGCAAAGAAGAAAGGAAGGCCTATGAACACGCAGTGGCCAAAGCAGAGCGTATGCTCATCCTCCGCGCCGCCAGCCACGGACGCATCCAGCCACGGGAGAAGGACTGGCGTGAACAGCTCCAGATTGCCTTGGAGAGCTGGTGGGGAGAGGGCCCTCTGGCAGCCATGCGATGCCCGTGTTGTGATTAAAGTGCGACTGTTGTTCTCTTGAACCTACAAGGCCTTTGTGCCCTGGTCATCTTCACGAATTGCATCGTCATTGGCGTGGAAACCGATGTTGTTGCACAATCATCGGCGGACAAGTCTCCCGAAGTCTTCTCCGTGAGAAGCTCAGACTCTCTTTGTTTTGCACAAGGCTTTTCCCCGGGCTGTGGTGTTTCGGGTCGATGGATCCTGGGGTATGCTAGATAGACCCACTTGTAGAGGATTGGCCTCAGGTCTTGGACACCTTGTACACGCTGGTCTTCTTTGCAGAGCTGCTAGTCCGCCTATCAGCGTATGGAGGCACGGCCACAGCGTGCATCTTATGTCGAGTGCCGGTGCTGCCTTGGATTGGCGACTTTGATCCACGGCAGGTGATTTTTTCTGGGGCCCCAAAGGTCTGTTCTGGAACTATCTGGATGCCTGGTCTGAGCTCTCTCCCTCTCCATCTTTGGCTCTCCCTCCTGTCTGATGTGCAGATGATAGCAGGGTGCTCGTCGGATCTCGATCGGCTAAGGACGTGATCATTGAACCTTGTCTGACCTTCTTTAGTGAGGTACTTCGAAGTCGGGGCGAGTCCTGCGCGGAAGGGTCGAGAAGACTCCTGCAGTTTTCACCCTGTCTGAGGTATGCCCCTCCATGGTACAGCTCGCCATCCGAGTCATTTGGCAGTCTGATGACGACAACGGTGGTGGCAGCCTGACGGTGGCTCAACTGAAGCTCACAGAGACAACCCTTGAAGCACCACGGACTTGGCCTCCTTGAGCTGGCAAGGTCGTGCGCGTGCTGCGCATTACGCGTGTGGCTCGGCCCGTAGGACGACTTGCTGAGCTCGCTAGACTCTGATGAACCTTGTCGGCTTTTTTCCTCTGGACTGAACTAAATCGGATTCAGCCTTCTCCTCGAGTCTCTCTCCTTCATGACATGGGCTTCTTCAATCACACGGCCGATATTGCCAGCTTCCTTCGTTCTTTTGGAGTCGAAGGTCTTCAGAGTCATCAGAGTGGTGAAGGCCGCGGGCAACGTAGAACCATGGAAAGTCTCATGCTTTTTGCACGCGGACTTGCAGTTGTCTTTTGGCTCTCTCGCTGGGAGCCTTCGCCTGGCCCAGCGACAGTTGCCTGATGCTGTATCTTTGTCATGGCTGCCACACGTGCATTCTGCTGATAGCAGCTACAACGATGGCACAGCCACATGGCAGGTGATGAAATTTGTGCGATCTTTGCGACAGCTTGTCGAATCCATTATGCACACGATGAAGCTGCTGTGATGCAATGCGGCCACGGTCAAGAACATGCATTCTGCGGCTCAGCACCTGGAGTTGCTGAGGTCTCTTGCGTGGTCTATGCTGCTGCTTGCATCTCGGCCGACCATGTTCAGACTTTCATTAGCGATGGAGGCTCGGGCATGAGCCCCTGAAGTCCAAGATCAGAGACGAAGCAAAGCTTATCAACCAAGGTCAAACAGCCAACAGGCTAACAGGCCAAAAGGAAGGGGAAGCAGAGAAGCTAAAGCGTGTAAGCAGTGTCTTTCGGCACTGATGCCAAGCAATGGGACAGAGCCCTGCCTTAGCTGAGGTGGCCATCATCTACGTCTTTGCGATCATGTTCACTGCCACCCAGCAGAATTCTGCCCGTTGCAGCTTGCTTGCTATTTGCAGCAAACCATTTCCTTGTAGCGCCCTGTGAGGACGCCAGCATTGCCCACATGGCGGATAATCCGACGAGTGTTCTGAACCCCGAGTTGAGTCAAAGTTGGGGCACGCTCCACGCTTCCATGCATACCCTTTTCCGCGCCGTCTCGGGTGGCTTCGACTGGGGTGGCACGGCTGCTGCACTTGGAGACGTACACTGGGCCTGGATGTATCTGTCCCAGCCTAAGAGCGGCTGCCGGCAATTGGATTGACTGTCCGGCTTAGGGTACTTTGCTACTCCCGTGCGTACGGAGTCATACCCCAGAGCAGTGAATGATTTTGAACAAAAAGCACACACAAAATGGTTCAATTTTCCAAGCGCAGCCTTTGTAGAAGATGTCGACTGTCAGGTCGAGGTCCACCATAGTCACCTGGACCTCGGTTCAGAAAGGCTCGGAGCAGATTCCGGCAACCACGCCAACGCAGTGTGACCTGAGGGTTGTTGAAACCCAAGATTATTCCCGTGCCACCGGCCATGCAAGAGTTCTTCGCTGTGGCCCACGTTCACTTGAGCACAGCGGACAGGTAAACAAGAAGCAACAAGAACGTACGAGCATCTTTGCAATTCGACAATGAAGCCGGCCAAGAGGTCTCGAAAAGATTCTTGGTGCGGCAATGGGTAAGTGAAGCAACACTGGAGTTTCTCCAGTGCACAAGAAAGCCATGCCGTTAATCTTTTGAGCCTTCCAGACGAAAGGAGAATGCGAAACGTGCTTGCTGTTTTGCCCAAGCTTCAAAGTGGCGGTTTGAATTTGACATATGTTCTTGTATTGTATGGCGAACGTTCGTTATTAAATCAAACCTGCGCAGCGCAGATGTGCTGAGTGCAGTTGCGGCATCAAAGCAGCCTCTCGCATCGATTTCCGGAGCAAGAGACAAGAGAGATCTGCAGGTATATAAAGCACATCTGGGAGATTCGCGAAAATCAGTTTCAATGCGTCCGGAGGCTCCACGCAGTGGACGGCCAAGAGTCCAAAAACCATTCTAAAAGCACCCCCAAGACTAAACCCTTCAGGACCCAACGCGTTCCACGCAGCATGCACTGGGGACCGTGGCAGAAGCACGATCCGGAGCTTCGAATAGGAGGTCCGAAGTCGCAAGTCCAAAGCAAATCACCCTACCATCGAAATTGTAAGTGAAATTGTATGTAGGACTGTGAACGCATGATACGGACCGTGTCACATTCCCGGCGAGCCGGAGACGTTGAAAGCATGGACCGCTCGTTTGAACCACACAGCGCGCGGAAGGAACATGGTTTGATGGTGGGTGTCTGGTTTACGTCCTTTTTGGATGTTTGCCGCCTCTAGAGCTCCATGTTTTCCGTCCACTTCTTTAAGCGTTCAACCCGAAAGCCGAAAGTCCTGATATCACAGAAGCGCTAAAGCCCTAAAGTGCTGAAGCTCATTTCGCAATCGCGTGTTTTCGGGTTCACAAGATTGAAGCGAAAGTTCAAGGGTTGAGGAATTTCAGCTTCATGCTGGCTGGGTCTTGGATGAGGGTCGCTCTATAAGCTATGAAAATGGACATATAGTCTAACAAACAAGCAAATAAATGAGCACACCAGAATTTATCTACATACAGACATGTGTATATATATATAATATTATATATATATATATTACATATATATATATATGTAATAACTGACAACAGGATATTTCAGAGAAGTAATGTAATTCCTCATATTATGGCACAAGGATATGAATGTTGACCCCACCCGAGCCACATTGGGAGGAACAAATTATTCTCCTTACTTGCTGCATTGCAGGTCCGGGGCGGGCAAGTCGCAGGCACACACTCCATCTCCTGGTGCAAGAGCCGCGCCTGTTGAAGCATGCTCTCAGAGCATTTGCCTTGGTATCAATACCACAGATACAGCATTGAAGCAGGATTATTTCGCGGTGCCATTCCCAGGTTCGAGTACTGTAGTCGGTCTGCAAAGCCATTCAGAAGTTATTTTGCCGACGATCGACAAGCAGCAGGTGTTTGTCACGCCATAGCGGCCAAAGTGTCCTTGTGCATTGCGCGGGGTCTTGACTCATTGGCCTTCTGACATGTTATCAATTTCAGCCTGAGCTCAGCCGGCAGCATAGTTCGACGTAGCATCTTCCTTGCTTGCAGCCTGGGGGGAATCTGTCGGCATGGGTGAACACACTTGTCCATGCAGTTCGAAAAGTTGGAGGCATCGGGCCAACAGCAACAGTGCCCCTGTACTGCCCTTGTCGGGATAGTTTTTGCAGCCAAGCCGGAGCAAGACATTTTTGTGGCTGAAGCACTTTCAGTATTAGGACCACCGCTATGGGTCATCAGCATGTCATTGCATTCTGGTCTGTCGTCAGCTGTCTTTCATGGTCATGAGTGAAGTTTTGCCATGTCGCCGTTGCGGACGAAAGGACTACCGAGGTTGTGAAACATCGAATCTCCCGGAGCGGTGTCCAATCGGTTGACAGGCAGCTCTCGCCCAGAATCAGTGATGTCGTTTTTCACGGACCACCGAGCCATGCTCCCAAAAAACTGTGGGAAGCTGTAGCCGCCCAGCGCGGTTTGGCGACATTCGCCCGGCCTTGCTCGGACAATCGGAGACACAGACGCTGTCAGTCTTGCACAAGGCTGCACGGCGCCGCTTGCGGGGGCATTTGCCCTGAGTTCTTTGGTTGGGGAAGCCACTGCGGAAACAGCTGTTTGGCGAAGGTGGCTGAACTTGACTCAGGCGAACTGTCAACGTTGGATGCTTTGGCTGTTCGTTTGCGGAAGTTTGTTGACAGATATCGCCTGCCGGAGCTGAGAGGCTGTTGCTGACATCCATACCAGTTGTGTACGGCTATGGAGGGTTGGCTTGTGGGCAACTTAGCATTTGGGGCTGGCTCACCATGCTGCGGCGTTTCGCATTGTCAAATTCTGAAAGTATGCTGTGCAACAGTGCAACCGAGAGGATATGAGAGGATTTTTGCTCCAAGAGATTTTGCTGGCGCAAGGGTCCCGTGGAATCCCGTGTTCAACATGTCACCGATGTTTTGTGTCAACTGATCTTTGAAAACCGCAGGTCGATGTTGTGGTCGAGTGCATGCATGCGGTTTCGTCCGTACACCCGCGGGCTGCCAGCACAGTGACGTCTACATCAGGCTGTAAGTTGCATGACGACAAATCCTGCGGCCTCATGACCCATTAGCAGACGTGATGATATGGCGAAGTTTCCCCGCCGGATGTCATTTTCGCAACCAAGCATTTTGTGGCAAGCGAGGTGTTGAGATGAGTTGAGACCACAGACGGCATCACAAGAACTTCTGCGGTCCCATGGCAAGTTGCCCCTGCCTGCGGCAACGGATGATGTTATTTTCGCAGCAAGCTTTTGGTGGCGAGCGAGCTCCTGCGCGAGCATGTGGTGATGCTACGTGCAAACCTACGTCCCAGAAAGTTGTTGCGATCATAGGCTCTGGATGGCTCTGGTTCATGGTAATACGTAGTTTGGTGTCCACATTAGTCCACACTTGGTGCCTGATTTCTATGGCTTCCTCTATTCGTTGCCCGAGTGATGTGAAAATAGACATGTTATACTCAACATGAGGTCTTCTTTTGGTCGCAACACAGCTTTCCTGACACCGCGTCGCAATTCAAAAACCGAAGATCGAAGCTACCGGTGATGTTCGAGACCGTGGTAACGGTTCCATGCATGATGATGTTAATCATTGAAACCGGAATGCGTTCGAGGTGCCCGCATGAAAACATGGAGCAGAAGACGCTATACTCACACGATGGCGAAAGGACTGATTCCATGTCTTTGTGGTAAACTTCATGGCGCAAAATGTAAATCGGGGGGGGGTTCTCGCCTGATTCTGAATTCACCGCGGTGCACAATTCAGAACAAGCCTGCTTCTGACACAATTCAGAGCAAGCCTGCTTCTGACTTCCGGACAACATATTCGTTAACGGCAGTTTCAATGCATGTTCTCAGTTCATCACATGGTCCTTGACGATGGACAAACACCGGGACAGCAACACGTTCGCCACGCCGGGTGTCTGTGGGTTTCGTGTTGGCACCAAGTGACATTTCGAACGGAAGCCACTGCCACTTTGCGAGATGTAAGGTTTACAGCGTACATTGCATTCTGCATGTTCGCTGTGCTCAATGCACCCCAGCTTGATTTAAAGAGAGGTGATTTTGTTGAAAAGTTTCAGATTGCCGGTTGGCCATGTTGAGGTGTCGAGCCTCAGTGAGGTTGTTTCTGGCATTCAGCCGGACAATTGTGTGTTAATTTAAGTTCGAACCGCGAACAGAGTCGTCGTGTGATTTCTTGGGTTACAATATCGTTCGTGGACCCAGCGGCCAGGTCATGACAGGTATCTTCTGTCAAGTAGCTGTCGCACCTTGGCAAACACAATTACCGCTCAGTTCGTTGCCATGTTTGCATGCCTGTGGGAACATTTGGCGGCTTTGGACGTGGTTGTGCATTTTGACAGGCTGCGGTGTAGATGCAAGATGAAGCAGGTTCGCCCACAACACCGATGCTTCCGATAGTGCTACGACTGTGCAAAATGCGCAACATAGTATATAAGCTTCGAGTTGGTTTTAATGTTAGTTAGAGGGCTGGCGTTTTGCAATTTGTCCCATCGGCCATGCTCGTGCTGTCCCACTGAGGAAAGCTCTCGCAACGATCCACAATTTTTAATGCAGCACTTGCTTGTGCTTCAGCTGCAGTCTATCTGATTTGCAACCTATGCGTCGCAGTTTGCAAGCCGGTCGCTTTGACGAGCCTGACTTGGTCGTTGCCCGGGTCATAGTGATCAGGCAGAGAAGGATCGCCAGACCGATTTGATCCGGAACTTATTTCGCATCTTCGACAGGCACCCCGCCATAGAATGAGTGTCTTTCATCTTACGTCTGGTGCGTCGTGTCAAAGACAGCTCAGCCACAAGCCGTTCGACTCAGGGAAAGGCGAGGCTACATAGCGCTCACAGCATCTTGGCAGCATGCACGTAGATGATACGCCAGCTACTTGTTTCGATGGCTTGATGGAATCATGCGATCGGGCCGACAGGGACTGCATGGCAGCCAAGGAGCTGGAAGACAAGTTTAACGATGAAACGGCCCAAGGCTTGTCTGATCTGCATACGGGCCTAGCAGCACGTTACTTTATTTCGCATCCAGCTTAATCTAGATGTAGAGAGCGAACCCTCTGTCCATTCAAACAGACGAGCAGCAAGAAGTCAAGGTCTTCATGTGCATCATGAGAGTGACATATTCCTTTTCGCCCAGTGCTCTGAAACGCGCCAGGAATGATGGGTCTGCTGGAGATTTATCCAGAGAGTAGCTGGTCCCTCTTCAAGAAGCTCCTGGGCCGATACTAGTGTTTTCAGCCTGCTTTATCGGATCTGGTCTGAGCAGCCTTGAATTGCTTCCTTCGTGAAGGTCAGTTGCTCTTGATGAGTTGCGCTAAGGTTGGATGAGAATGCAGACGGGAGACTCAATGAAGAGCCTTGTCCAGGGGTTGACGAACAAAGCCAAGACAGACAAGGCAATAGGACAAGTCGCTTAGCAAATGTCGATGCTGAAAGCAAGGCACGTCTCGGGAACACTAGATTTCACCTTGTCTAGCCCTTGGCGTGCATCCAGGGGTGAGATGGCCCGCCGACCGTATATAACCAAATCACATGTTGAGGCGTGTGGCTTAACAAGAGGCATTCTGAAACGTGTCTCGCTCCCTGTCGAACTCGTGTGTCCGAGGGATTTGGCAGTCATTACCGACCATATCTTTTGTCCGTGGTGTGCTGATGTGCCCCTGGGGTGCCGTCCCTCAGCACGCCCTCTTGCACCGCTCAGCCTAGTCTGGCTTCACACCAAGGACGAGTTTGTGAATGGCATCTTCAAGTTGAAGGGTGTTACAAAATCTTGGGACGTCGAATCTTCGCTGCAATAGATAATGTTGAATGGCGCCGCAACTTGAGCCTGCAAGAGGGGTGTAATCAAATGCAGAAAGGTGTCTTGAATCCGAGACCTAAGACAAGTCAGTCATGATAGTATATGCTAGTACTGTTCCTGCAGTATGTTCATTCATGAATAGCGGTCCGCGGAACATGTGGTCTCCAGATTGAACATCTGCACGCAGGGCGTAGCGCGCGGTCCTGAAGTTCACCCGTTGCAAGCTAAGGAAGAAATCTTGCAAGACGTTTGGCACGCATATGGGAGGAGGATGCAATCACAGTAGACACGAACAGGGCTACCTTCAGGGCTCGCTCCGGGCTCTCGACCACACTTTCATCGATCGTCACTGGGGACTGGGGAACAACGGTTTCAAAGCCATAGGGTTCTTGCAGATTGTCAGCCCGACCTCTCGCGAAGACTCTGCCCGGTCTATTTGTACCAAAGGTAAAGGCTGGTGGCATTGCTCCATGTATGTTTTCTCTTCGGCAGCAACAAGACGTAATGCTCGCAATGTTGATATTAATTAAATTAATGTCACGCACTCATCACATAGTATATTTAGTTTGGAGCAGTGCATGTGGATCGACGATACGAGTCGGGCTGCAACGTAATCTGTGCAGCTCCCACCTCAGAGGCCACTCGCACGTTTTGTTGTTCTACTTTGCGCTGACTCCCAAATCTCAGTTGCTGAGGGACAGAAGCAGCTGACACGAGCGATTGAATCGCACTTGCAGTCCTCACGCGCAAGATTGTCTGCAGCCCAGTATTGTTTGGCTGGAACGGACTGCTCACAAGCAGGGTGCCACAGTCATCTGATGTGCATCAGCCGAGGTCGAAGAACAAGATGATTCAGGAGTTAACGTAACATGGCCTGGCCAACAGCTGAAGGCTTGGTGTTCAGCTTTTCAGACAGGCTTAATGACGGAGCTAATCTGCTTGTGCTTCAAAATGCAGAGACTGTCAAAGCCTTCGGCATTTTGAGCTGGAGTGGCTGGCTGGCGCAGCGAAGTTGCTGGGATGCTTCTGTTTGGTGCTTCGACCTCCTTAGACCATAGAAGTGCTGCCCGGTTTAGACTTTTCATAGGATAGCGGCCTGGGCTCGGAGCCCTGCACCGAAGCTCCGTGTTCCGTAGAGGTTCGATCTGGTGTTTGACCGCTTGTATAAATAGCCAGCTTAAGGGGAAACAAAAGCCTCCAAGAGGCTGTCTGAGCTGCCAAAGGTAGATTTTCTGAAAGCTTTGCCCCTGCAGACAGGTCTGCCGTGCATCGAAACATGCGGTGGAAACATTCATTGCTGCGCTTCTTGCATTTGGAGCTTGCCACAACGGACAAGAGTTCAGCCGTTCAGCCCACTATCCACTAGTTAGGGACAAGGTTAAGACTAAGGACTATAATATACCCCCTCGCCCTACTGCAAAGAAGCTTCTATTTTCGGCAGGACGACTCGACAGACCAGTGCTGCGGCCTGGTGTGGAAGGCCGGCAGCGTTTCCCGGATGAGGGGATCTAGACTGGCAGGGAAAAAGGCACACGCAGAACAGCACATGGCAAGAAGCAAAGTGACTGTCTCAGTAGACATCGCTTCTCTGTAGAACCAAAACTGATAGGATACCTCTCGTGGCTTTCACTTATCTGCCGTGGCTGCAATGAGCCTGAGTGCGGCACTTGGGATCTATCCTCCGAACAAGTGGCACTGTGGGGCAAACCTGACCAACACTGGTTTCTGCCTGTAAGTAGTAAAAGGACTCCCCCCTTGACGTACACTGCTCACGAGTAGCCCTGGCCATTTAGTGGTGCAGTGGTTTCTGTCTACACAGGTACCTGAAAGAGAACCCCAGTTTTTGAAGAATCCCTTGCAGAACCCGTCATTGAGAGCCGGGCGGCGAAGAAGAAGAAGTTTGATGAGGAGGCAGGAGTTCGTGTTCAATTGCCTGCCAAGTCCATGAAATTCCATGAACCTTCTCATGCAGATAAGTAGCAGCTTCATTCAGCCACAGAAGAGCACACTCCCAAACAGCGGACCTGGAAGAGATGCGAAGAAATTAGATGGCTGCGACAGACGCGACAGGTTTTCGGCACGAAGTACTTCTGAAGCTGAAAGAAGTACGCTGTTGCCACAAGCGTGCGGATGCAACAGATTTTCGGCACCATCTACTTCTGAACTTGAAAGAAGTATGCAGTTGCCACAAGCGTGCGGCAAGGCTCAAAATATCCGTGTGTGTCAGGGAGAGCGAGAGAGCGTGTTTGCCTCTGGTGGGTGATGTGCGTGTGCGTGCATGAGCATGTTCGCGTGTGTGTGTGTGTGTCTCACCCGAAATTCTAAGAGACTGCAGGGGGTTGCCTTCATCAGTTACGCAACACTGCGGGTGAAGGGCGTGAGCTCTCGATCCATCCATCGTTCACCTTCCTACGAAGACGGATAGTTTGTCGAGAAATCAGAAGAAGACGTCGTTCTGAATAACCTGCCAAATATACTTGATTGTGATACAGTGCGTCTCATGTTTTAGCCGTTGCGTTCAGTTCTGCAGTGCTGTACACCGCAGCGTTCTACAAACACGTTGACATGGGCTAAAATGGTAAATTGTGCCAAGCCGAGAGCCCCGCGGCAACAGATTCAATCCAGCTCTGAACCTTGGACTTCAGTGAAGCTTGGCATATCATGGTTGAGGCAATCTGTTTCGCTGTGTTTCAGAACACCTTGGCACAGTTCAGGAACCAGCCACCTGATTATGCATGCAAGAATAGCGCGACATGTGAAACACTGGCCGTGAGCAATGGACCTTTCCGTAAACGAGCGTGATGGATCCTCGATGGCTTTTGCAATGACGTCTTCTCAGCGAGGCCAGTCTGAGCTGCGTCGGCTGCCATTGGGTTGAGCGTGCACATGCCCGTTTGCTTCGCTCAAGACGTCACTAAGAATGTCAAGACATGCAGAGGCTGGTCTCGCTGGCCCCGGCCTGGAACATTGCTGACCTGCAGCTCGGGCTGTTTGCCAGGAGTGTAGTACATAGGGATCGAGAGCAACACAATGATTCAATGATTCCAAAGCAAGCAAAGCTGGCCTGTTGCTTCCGAGGTTCGTATGACGGAACAACCAAGTTCTGGTCCATCTCAACCGGGCGCTGCTGGCGCAGCCTCAAGCAGGAGGGCCCTGTAATGTCTGTCGCCGTGTCGTCAGACGGGAGGCAACGACGGGCATGTTTGGTCAAGTTGATGCTGCATGTGCAGAGATTGGCCGATGGATGAGTTTCAATCTGTGTGGAAAGTCTTGATAAGCCCACACTTGAACTACCAGTCCAGCACGTGTAATGTCTGAACAGCTGTAGGGGCGTCGAGTTGAGTGGTCTGGGTCGGGATCCTGCCGTTTCAAGACTTTTTTCTCGAGGTTTCCGTTTGGTCCCGTGGCACACTGCTCGCGAAGCTGTTGTTCCCGGTCAGACCTCGGCTGTAGAATCGTCTTGTGGCATTAAGAGCATATCAGTTTCAAACCTGCATGCAAAAGGCTCCCGGCATCTCCCGGCCATGATGGCATCTTCTATCGCGTGTCCTTCTTGCTTTGTGCAGGTATCTGTTGACGGCCGCGTATGATGGTGTCGCTGCATTGTGGTGCGTGTTCAGCTTAGCCATCTTTGCCACTGTGATATTGCGAATCACGGCAGAATTCTCTCTGCATCTAGTTGCCTCAGGTGGCCAGAGGGGAAGCCATCCGAACTTTGAAGGGGCAAGAGGGTGGCCTCTACACGGCGGTATTTTCACCGAATGGCCAGTCAGTGCTGCCTCTCGTCTCCATCTCGCACTGCAACAGTGGTCCCAGCTGTGTCGCCTGTGTCGCAGTGTGAACGGCTCTGCACTGTAGCAAAAAGTGGGGTTACGAAGTAGCGGATGCCTCTCAGTGGGTTGCGCATTTCTTTGAATCAGGACGGCCTCGGCACATGGAGCTGCCTGCATGTGGAGATGGAGGATTGGCAAGGCCGCCTTTGTTGTGGCTGCGGGGCTACTAAATCTTCGTAACGACCGGTGGCTCCGCTTTGTCACAGGTGCAATGGCTCTTGAAAGGGCACGAGGACAACTACATGCGTTCCGCGACATTTTCGCCGGACGGAGAAACCATTGTCACAACATCATCGGATTGCTCACTGCGGATCTGGCAGCTCGACTCGTCGGACGAGTCTAGAGCTCCTTCGCCGCACACCACGGCTCTGGCAGATGCTACACCTTCCCCGATGTTCTTTGCTGCATGTTCCACTGGAGCGCTTGAGGCGCCGGTCCTTCTCAGAACACTTGAGGGCCACTATGGCTGGGTGAGCGACTAAGACTCGGCTCGCGCGTGCGCGCATCCACTTCGAAGCGAATAGGCCTTGAACTCGACTTGTTCTGCTTCTGGTGCTGTGCCGCAGGTGAACACAGCGGTCTTCTCACCCAGTGGCGATCAGATCCTGTCAGCGGCTGCTGACAAAACAGCCAGGCTCTGGTCTGCATCAACAGGCCCGTCACACTCCAAATGAGAAATACCATGTCAGAAGCAGCGTGCGTGCCTGGGCATGTGACATGCAGGAGCCTGCCTGCTGACCTTCACAGGGCATTGGGCGTATGTGCGATCGGCTGTTTTCAGTCCGCAGCAGACCATGGTTCTGACGGCTTCAGCAGACTGGACGGCAAAACTGTGGAACTCGCAGACGGCAACTTGCATACAGACCTTCACGGGTCACTCGCAATGGGTCAACATGGCGTCTTTCGTCAATGGCCTCGCCAAGATTGTTACATGCTCCCGGGTGACTCGGCCATCCACAGCCGTTCCGTGTTTTGGATTCGTCTCAGCAACCTCAATCCCGAAGCTCGTGTTCTGTGGACTGGTGTTAGCTGCGACAACCTTACACTTAGCCCCACACCGCGAATCAATAGATTGAGGCCCTTCCGAGCGTGAATTTCAGGGGAATGTCACGCATTGCTTGAACCAATTGGCCAGCGGGAGTGCGTCTGTGCAGACCTAGATCGCTAGCTGTTTTGACTTGTACAAAGGTTTCTAGCCTTGACGTGGGTTTGTCAAAATCGTCAAATGAAGGGTCTCTTACTGGGTGTCCCTCACAAACACGCACCGTTTAGGCGTTATGTTGGCGTCCCTTCTTCCCTTCGTTTCTGAACTCCACAATCCAGTTCGTTCCCGAGTTTCTGGAGTGCGAGGAAGGCCTTTCTGACAAAAGCAAATCGTGCTTTCCGGGTGTGTGTGTGTGTGTGTGCGTGCAGGAGTCTACGAGTCTTTGCACTAGGACCACTAGGAGTTGGGTCGGCCTGTCCAGGAAGCAGGGTTAGGTTGATTGGGCGGTGGGTTGCATACGATTTGGCTCACTGTTTGTTGCTTCCGTCTCTGTCATCACGGGACAGTCTTGCTTCCAACAGCCCTGCCGCACAGCGGTGCTCACGGTACCCGAATACTCGAAAGCTTCTTCATCGCCGTTCTCAGGATTCGCTGTTTGAGTTGGCCACAGATATCATAGGTCAGCAATGTTGTGAACGATGTGTGCAGGTGTATTGTTGCTGCAATAAGTTGTGCTGGGGCTCGGATGCCTCTGATGGTTTGCAGGGTCATATCGGCAAGAAGTGTGACATTCCACACGGTTCATGTTGAATGAGCCTTGAGGACAACAGCGCCCGGCTCTGGGATACCAAAACTGGCGCCTGCCTGCGCGTGTACGACGAGCATAGTGACTTCGTGATGTGGGCGATGGTTCCTGCCACGCTTGCAACCAAAGACTACAAAGACCAAAGGCGCAAGATCAAAGCAACTTGGCATGAGCAATTACCAATCATCCATTAGTGAGCCTCGTTGCCAGATTCATAGCAGAACTACCTGCATGCACACTTCGTAGATGTCATGTCCATGTCCGCATCTGCGATATGCATTTTTGCATCCCTGTGCATGTGCAAGCACGCGGTCACGCCGGGTTGCAACAGTTGAATCGACTCTTCCTAGTCGGCGGGTCTTCGTTCGCTGCAAGGCTGGCCAGAGGCGCTGGATAGCCAAAGCTGCTTCCATTGACTGGCAGAAAGATGGTTCCGTTTGGGCACGGAGATGCGGCTCACAGAGCAATTACCAATTATATCAATGATACCGTCACCATACTGTACTTGTTTCTGTGTGCTATGCATAGGGAGGATGCAGCGGTGCCTTCACACATGGAGCCATCCAACAGCTGTCGCGTTCTGGCTAGGTTGTTGTAATTCAGGCAGCCTTATTCACAGCGTTGGCTCAGAAGCGTGCAAGCAAGGCGGTTATAACTCATTAACAATAGAAGACTGTTAGGATGAGCGATAAGATTCTTGGCGAGATCGTAGTCGCTGCACCTGAACACATACCAAAAGGCACATGTCCATGCGGTGAAACCAGGAGGCTTGACCCGGCCCGACCCTGGTGCAACACCGCACTCGTAAATCGCACCACATCACCCATAGGCTTTGCTGAAAGACCACGGCCGCAACATCATAAACGGGTCACTGGGTGAAGACTCGGCCGGTTGCCAAGATCATGGCACGGAAGCGAAGTTTCCGATTCGGGCTTTGCTTGCCCTGCGCCGTCGCCCTCTGCTGGGGCTTGGGCCTGGGCAGCCGAGCAGCCTTCACTCCGAGAGGAGTCGGGAGCCGAAAAGGGGAAGGAAGAGGGCCACGGAAGTCGAAGTGAGGCTCGGGCTCTGAGCCGTGCGGGAGCTCAGAGAGGTGGCGGGCGCGGGCGATCTCCGGGCGCCTCGCGATCCCCTGGAACCTGGTTGGAGGCGGAGCCGACCTGCCAGTCGAGGTGCCTCTGCCTCGCGGTCAGATACGAGTAGAGAAAGCTGAGACCTTTAAGACGAGATCTGCGAGGTGCGAGAGGCAGCGGACACTTGCACGGCTGGTTGCTTTGGCTGCGAAGTCCGGAGCTCGTTGAGTTGGTGCAACTGAAGACTTCCATGTCTCAAGGAGAGGGCCTGGACTTGGAACTGGCCGTACCCGAAGACTCGGACATGCAGGAGCTGACAGACTTGGTCGATGAAAGCTTCCAGCGGGCCATCCAAGCCAGGCCGGATGCTGCAATCAGAGTCCACGATGTTCACGGAGATCCTGTCATGTCTTATCCTGTGAGGATGGTTGATGGTGGGAACCCACTTGGCGACTTGTGGAACGGCTGGGTGTCTTTGAGTGAGCGGCAGATGACCCTTGGGGCGATGCGAAAGCGCCTCGCGGGCCTGCTCTCGTCGCCCAGTTTGAGGCGACAGAAAGCACGACGACTTCCCAGCAACTCCCAAGCAACTCCCCAACTCGCCCCGGGAGGCGGCCGAGCAACGATGAGTGGAACCTCGGAGCTGCTCGGACGAAGCTTCGTGGCTTCGGCCTAGGCGTGCGCTGTCTTGAACGTCACCTGGCTCGAAGGTTCTTCTTCGCGAGAAGGGCGTCGAGAAGCCACCAATCGGATACTTTGAGATTTGCATGCAGAAGCCAGAGGGGATCAGCAGGCCGGGAACGTTGGTCTTCTTGATGTTGCCGTAGCACCTGACTCGTGGCATCAAAAAATGCTGTCTAGAACGACCGGGTTGGTGAAGGCGCAGCGCAGCGCTGGAACCATACCTCAAGAACTTATGTGTGTCCAAGGCTCGCTCTTGTAGACAACGAGGAGTGGTAGAGTAGAAGTACTGCGTGCGGTACCGACCCGGGAAAGGCTTACCGAAGACGCGGGCTTGGCAAAAAGCTCCTGAATTTGGTGGAGGCATTTTGCAGGACTGGGGGTGCCACTGCCACGTGTCGTTCTGCCTATCGTGAACATCTCGATGCCCTTAGCGTGGTTGCTTCTAGCATCTTGAATCTCTTCCAGAATTGCCTCCGGATTTAGGGCCGGAACTTTCTGTGGTACAGTCGTACAGAGACAAAGGACTAAGGATTCAGAGCTTGCAATGAGTGTAACATGCAGCTGCAAGTCCGCACCAGCTGTAGACTCTTGGGGGCCATATGATCGTTCAGTGTTGGATCCGCCTCTCTTGCTTTGGAGCTCCCCCATCTGAGTTGACAAACCCTGAGGACGGCATGGCAAGGCAGCGCACTCTATCTGCATACAGATGATGATGCAGCAGCCTTCAATCTCTACAACAGCACCGGCTACACAGTGAGGAAGCAAGAGAAGGCCAGGTGCTGCAATGCATCAAATCCACGCGGGCCGCGAGATGGCCGTCCTTGCCCCAGCTAATCAGCGCGGGTGACCATCGTGAACCCGTCCAACATCAAGCTAAGTACTTGTACTGGTAAACACACCGACACCGGCCGACCCACGAGAGGACACTAACCGACACACATTTCGCACTCTCGCCACCCTCCATGAAACGAGTGTGTCCTACATTAGCATGTGGGTTGGTACGCTGCTTCTCGCAGAAAAAGACTAGCATCCCAGCGTCTCGACTGGCATTGCATGTCATGTTGCGGTCGATCTCCGTTTGTTTACTAGGTGCTGGGCATGGGTGGGTGGGTGTGTGTGTGTGTGTATGTGTATGTTTGTCTGTCTGTCCGTCCGTCCGTCAGTCAGTCTGTCTGTCTGTCCGTCCGTCTGTCTGTCTGTCTCTGTGTGTATGACACACATTGTGTGTGTGTGTGTGTGTGGGTGGGTGGGTGGGTGGGTGGGTGGGTGGGTGGGTGGGTTGGGTGGGTTGGGCGGGTTGGGCGGGTTGGGCGGGTGGGTGGGCGCGCGGGCGTGTCTGTATGTCTGTGCGTCTCTGTGAGTGTGTCCTGGAGCGGGCACCACGACAACCAGCAGGCCACGAGGAGACCACCAGAAAAACAACTCTCAGAGCCCACCAGGAGACCCCGGGCGAGGAGACCAGCAGGTGACCACGGAGCGCCTGAAGACTACCAAGAGACCACCGAGACACCACGGCCAAACTTCAGGAGCCGCAATGGTTCCCCCTAAGTGCCGGCGGAATTCTGCAGTACTTGCGGGAGTGGGGACAGCGGTACGCATGTTTGACCCCCACATACTGGTGAGATTCAGGATTCCTGAAAGGTCAAACATGCTTGCCCCCAACCACTGGCGGGATTCAGAGTTTTCGAGGTCGAAAGATGAACCCTGGACTGGAATTTCCCACGGGAGACCGGAGGCGGTTTCCAGGAGATGCTGGTAAAACATAGGACGTGAGCGTAATATCAGCAGCGCCACGCGGCCACGCTAACCATTTCCGTCCACAACAAACTCCAGACTGTTTGGGTAGAAAGCTAGACTTCGTTTGCTTTGGACAGGTTTTGAATCCCCAGCCATCAAGCATCGCGGGAATTCTAGAGGGCATCTTGCAAGAGCTCACAGAACTCAGAATCTCAGAAGCTGTTGCCGGGTGCAGGATATTCTGGGTTTAGCCTGAGGCTGATGGCCCCTCGAAAAGTGCACTCACTTTGGAATGGCCTGAGATTTCCGAAACCACTGTCCACAAACAGAACTCGTTGAACTTGGTGATCAGCAATGAGCCATCTGGCCGCAGGATGGCGAAGGTGTCAGCTTCTACATGTTCAAGCGCTTGGAGTAGATGCGAGCGACATCTGCAGCTCTGCTGGATAGTTTAAAGTTGCCGGATATCCCATGCGTCATTCGGGCTCCTGCATGTGCTGCACAGTGCTGCCATCTGCTGGCAGATCGGAGCATCATTCGTTGAGAGAGTTGTCAGACCTATGTACGAACCTTGCTGCTGGAACATTTTCGGCGTTTGCGTTTAACTTATAAGGCATTAGACTTAGAAACATCGGCCTTCAGGACTGACAGGGCGGCGCGGTGCGCTGCTTCTGCATCGTGCGAACGACCATTATGTGAGCAGCAATGGATTCATGGTAGGTATCTTCGTTCTGCGGCTGTGTTCGCCCAAGGCGTGCAGCCAAATCAGCATAGCCAGGCGGGCGATCATGCAGCTCAATGTCAAGGAATGCGAGTCTTTCGTTGGAGCATACCAAAAGCTGCGCGGGCTGCCAAAATATCAAACCAGAGCTGTTCTGTGGGTCTCATGATGGGATGTGTCAGGATTTGCATTTGCAGCATTGGCTACGCGAGATTTTGGATAGGAATTTAGGCACAACGCAACGGACGAGCAACCAACGCCAGCTTGGCTCATGCCGGGGGAGCTAGCTGCAAGCAAAGTCCAGAGGTGAGAGAAAGTAGCCGTAACGATGCTCAGCGAGCCGCACCTCGACGGAGATTCATCCGGCGGTAAGAATCACCGTTCCCACTTCAGATGGTCAGACACGTCGGGAGTCAATGTACCAGCCGGCATCAAGAAGGTCTACCGGCTAACTGCGTCATCATGACTCATGGCACCTGTTCCCAGTTGAGGCTCTATTAGATGTATCCTGACTTTGATACTGTACCTGTATGTACTTGCGTCACTCTTCGTGGGCTTGGCTCAAGCTCTGCGGCATGCTGTGGCATGCTGTGAATGAGGTTTCGAGCCCCAAGTCCGCAAGCTCTACTCTGTGGGCCTGAAAGGAAGGTCACTGCCGCCGAACCAGGCCGGAGCGCTACAGACTTGGCCATATCGGCAGCCATCGGAGTATCTCGACCAGCTCCTGTGCCAGGAACTCATCACTTCTGGCGAAGCTGCCACGACGATGTATTTCATCACATCTGGGGCGGCTCGACCTTCAGGGTGACCGAGATCCGCGATGCTGTCCTTCCCGAGATCGTTGTGGGGTCCGTGTCTAAGTGAACTCGAAGCTTTGAGCCCAGAACACTGCAGGCCTTGAGCTACAAGTGTGACAAGCAGCTGTCACCGCTACCAATTCTGCTGCAAGAAGGCGGGAAGGGCTCTTGGAGAGAGGCTTGATGAGGGTTGGATCTCACTGCAGCCCTGTGGCAGCTTCGGAAGTGTGCAGCAATCACCTGTCGGAAAGACATGTCGTAGAGCTCTGAACATCGCATCTCGGCTCCGAGGCCATAGCCGGAGTTCTGTAACTTCCAGGCCCTTAGATTTTGCGTGTGCCTGTTTCAACATCCCCTGGCCCTATTCTGAGGCCCTGACCCACAAAGCATTCTTGTGACGATGCCCATGGCCGTTGTGTGGACACATATCGCCAGCGCGGC